GGAGCCACTCACTAGACTGTCAGCTGTGGAGTCGGGGATCTGGCAGCGGAGACTCTCCCTTTCCTCTGTGTCCATCAACTCCAGGACGCTCCTCAGGTCCTCCAGAAGGTGCAGCGCCCGCAGGCTGCCCATGAAGGGAGAGGTAGGTGATTGGCAGTCAAATAGTCCATTAGAGTAGTCTAGAGCCTTGGAGCCTGGGACAAAGAATCCAGACAGAACAGAGAGAAAGAAATTAAAAAGGAGCTCGAATCCAAAGAAAGACTTCTTCAAACTATTTCTCGTAATGGAAAGGAAAGACAAGAACAATTTTTTTGTCTCAGGTTCTGAAGTGATAAAAAGATTATAGCAATAACTTGGATCATACAAGGGAGAGGTGGTTATAACTTTTGCTTTACTTCTATTAATTTATTTACTAAAAGGCAGTCATTTTTTATCATGGCACTGATATTTGATCAATCTTCAGTCCTGTGTAGTTTTAAAAGATGCGAGAGCAAATTGGTATCTATAAAAATAAGCAACTCTGGTGAACAGGGCTGTCAGTCACCATACCAGAACTTCAAACTTTGATACGATACCGGTTAGAATCAAACAATATCCATAACTCTTTCAAAACCACAGCAAGAAAAAGCAGAAGTCCTGGTAAGGCAACTAATATTTAGAAATGTCTCATTTCAATTACCAAAGTCTTTCAAGCAAATGTTTGCAAACGGTCTTAATTGCAAAAAATACATTGGCAAATGTTCTGAACAAACATGCTGCCAATGCATGTTTGTAATTAGACAGCATATCGCTCGCATCACCTCCTCTGCTCCTTCTGTTAGTCAGAGACATGAACATCATTTTTGCACGTTTATTAGACAACAGAAAGGTCACAACCTGTGACGCTGCTGCTCTCTGTCTTTCACTTGCGGCAGATTTGGTTTAAGTTATAACTGAAGATCTGTCGTTTGTTTTAAAGCTTCGGGACTTTTCAATACTTTTGATCAATAAAATAATAGCGCTTGTAACGTCTGAAAACACATCATGGGATCGAAAAGTAATATGAGTGATATCAAAAGCAATGCTTGACCGTCTCTAACACGCATGGAACTTCAGGCTGCGGGATCTTAAACAGCAGCTATGTCACAGAGGATAACACCATTTAACCTGGAAGAGACTGCTTCTTTAGGTTTTTCAACACAGCTGAAATAAAGGAATCACAATTACATCTAGTCGAAGCATTTTAAGTCATGAAAGGTGGATCACTTTACCTGCTATGATGCCATCCATTTGCTCGAGTGCAGCTGCCAACATGTCGCTGGCATCAGACATCATCTTCAGTCGCTGATAAAAAACCTGGAACGAGCAAAGAAACCATTTAAATAAAGAAGGCTACTCAAACGTTTATTGTATTTAAGCCATTATGAATGCAAATATGTTTTGGCTCTTCTACAATTCACTGAGCAGACTCTTTTCTCCAAAGCGACGTACATCAGAGAGTAAGAACAACACAAGCAAGGATCTAGAAAAAAGGGAACAATGTCAGTAAGAGCAAACGATCAGCTTTGAGTCTGATTGGACACACAGGTGCTGACAGGAAGTGACCAGAGGCAAAGCACAACATTGAGGGCAGTTCTTGAGAGCTCTAATCAGTATAGAAACCATCTTATAAGTCGTCCTTATCAAACAAAAACCATCGTCATTACCATCATCATCATCAATAATATGGAGACCATCATCATTAAGTTAGTAGGTATTCATGAAAGAGTAAAAAAGTAAAAAAGAAATCATGATCAATACATCCATGATCATTGAGACTAATAACCTCTCAGCTCTTGGTATTGTAGTTTAGTCTATGGAATAACAAATAAAGAGTGCAGCTGCTCTGAATACAAGATAAGAAGAGTAGGACAAGGACAGCAGAAACAGTGGTTTTTAGCTTCCTAGGCTAAAATAAGAGCAGTAATGTGGGCTTGCTAAGCATGCGATGAAAAAGGTTTCCACCCAGGAAGTAGACTATAACTGCAGAACAACCTCAACAACCCCTGTATGGCTAACAAAGGCTAGTGCAGGCCTGGTTAGATATGATGATAACCTGTGGTCTGTGGCAGCTAAAACAACAAATGATGTGTTCTCTGTTAAGTTGTTCTTTCTTGAGCTGTATGCTGCAGAGTGAGACTATCTCATAACTCATTTCAGAATATCAATAAGGCCATTTACCTAGAAATATTTTCACAATTACAGATCCAGCCAATAGGACACAGGAGGCTCTGTTTGGAGAGGAATGAAGATTCATTTCAGTGTGCCAGTACTGGACATCGGCCAAAGCAGCACAACAGTCTCTTTATCTTCAAACATTTAATCAAAAGGCTCTGCTGTATATCCATGCATGCTGACAAAACGCATGCAAAGGCACTCATCTAGACACACGCGCACACCCCTTCCTTAAATTGGCTGTCTCACATCCTGGGAGTGTCCTTCACTGGGACATCATTTTCAAACTTTATGGAAACCACCCACAGACCTCCTCGCACTGTTATTTGAGGATTCCTGTGGTCACGCTTTCCATTATGTGTAAAACAAGAGTGTGCACTGAAACATGAGAAACATCACAATAAACAGAAAAGTTGAATGGAGATGGGAAGAATCAGCTCCATTAGTAAACTGCTGAGGTGTTCACTACAAAAAAGAACTGACTCTGATGGAAACGCTCCTCTCGGGCTACATACAGTCACACTGCATACTGTCCCACTTCTTGCATGTCTAAAAGCAGACAAACACCATCACAGTTTCAAAAAGTCAGAGCAGAAAACAACCTCTAATGGGGCTGAACAATAAACATGTGACAAAAACCAAGCGTATTATTAAATAGTATTATAATATTGTAAAGGTGCTGGTGTAGAGATGCACGTGTTTAGGGTGCTGGTTAATCTCAGTTGGTAGTGACTTTCTGTTTTTCTGTTTTTCTATTGGCTGATGGTCTTGGTTAATCTGTTCCCATTATTTTTGTTGTTGTTTTGTCTAAAAACTTAATTTGTTTTGGCCAACAAGTCCAACATCACACACTGATTGATGAAAACATTTTGATTTTTCTGTGAATAATGCACAAAAATAAGAAGGTGTAGGAGCAGAAAAGTTTTGAACTTCTTCCTATCTCTTTTGAACATGAACTTTATTATTTGAGTTTTTTATTTGTTGCTATGGATCCTGAGGATCCAGTTTGTTCTTTCGTTATGTTTTTTTCCTTTTTATTTTGTGTTTGTTTTATCTTAACATGTTCACTAAATTGACTAATAAAAAAATAAAATAAGTTGCCCCATATACTCAAATCTATGTGACAGTTTTACTCTTTTTCAGACTTACATTACTTATTTTAAAATACTGGTATAAAAGACTTTAAATACATTCTTTGAGATCGGAAATAAAAATGGCTATCAATAACAAACTCTGTACACTTCACAACACAGACTGAGTTTTGATGACTATCACTGTGTGTAGACTGAAGGCCTGCAGGGTATCCCCCTCCAAAACCTGAGTCAGCTCTTCTTTCACAGCAGCAAGGCAAATCTGGGTAAGGTTAACACATGGCTTTCAACAAACACTCTCCAAACACACCCTGCCAAGACCAGACATGCTGCTCAGGAATCGTCTGTCCTCGTGTCAGTCAGAGCTGAACAAAGTGTAAAGACGCTGTCCGAGCACTTCCACCATGGCTTCTACCTGGATTCAGACCTGAGAACAAAGAATGCCTAATTACAGAGAAGTTCCCCTTGGTCCACAAGTCCTGGGATGCCCCCATGGTGTGTTAGTCAAACGTAAACACAACGAGTGGGTAGTCTGGAGAGCAGGAAGGATGACTGACTTACTATGTCGTCAGAGTGTTTTTAGGATAAAACAAATGCTAATCAATCAACTGGATAAATATATTTTGAATGTTTCTGAAAGTAGTGATAAAAAAATCCTTACTTTGACTTCCAAAGTCCAGAAATGCAAAATTCTATTCATTGGACAAAGAGCAGCATTTCTCACATAAGTGAAGCTTGTGCTGGTGCCCTATTGTCTGATTTCAGTCACAATACTTGATTAACCTTTTTAAATCTATTAATTTTTGTTGAATTTTACTCCCATGCAGGACATTTCCAAACTTGTATTTGCTCTGATTTGTACAATAAATCTCAGTAAGCTTACTATCAGGAGATATCGAAAACAATCTCCAACAACAAGCAAGCATCACTCTCAAAAAAAAAACAAAGTCTCCCTGTCTGCTCCTCCATACCACTACTTATACCAACCATGAGACACACAGAGGGGGCTATTGTTCAGGTTAGGGGGGGTATCTTTACTGAGAGGCATGAGAAGACAAAGACAGGGGGAAAGAAACTGCAATGCAATGCTACAGTACACATGGCAACAACACCTGCCCACGCAAAGAGCTTAAAAAATGAATAAATACAAATAGAAGCAGTCTTGCCCTGCGGTTATAACAGCCGTGTAATTCATGGAAACAGGCAGAGAATAATGACAACAAGAGGGAGAGTGGATCATATAATGGCTTTTTCAAACCCTTCAGGCAGGGGGAACCATCGCAAGCTCACTGGACAGAGAGAGAAAACTCAAAGTCTCTCTAGGATAGAAAAAATGCAGTAACTCCCTCTGTTCCACTCCTGTTACACACAGGAAGTGGAAAAATATATAAGAAGCCATTGGGCCACTTGTCCCTAAGGGGAGAAAGGGTTTTACAGAAACCATGCAGCTGGCTTTTACAGCTTGTGTTGAGACAAGATGCACTTGTGGTAGAAAAAAAGAAGAAGCCTGGGGAGAGAGGAATTTACAATGCGGGCATAATAACTCATACAGCAACAGCAGTTTACTTCACTTGCACGTTGACCAAATCTGTGGACCTAAATGTATGCATCAAAGTCTCACTGGATAACGACACTTTCCATGTTTTGAGTCACGCAGGCCTCGACTCAGCTCTACCTTCCACAGTGTTTCCATGAGAAAAGCTTCAGTCTGGCAGGCACATCTTTCAAAATGAGTTTTATTGAGTTTTCTTGGATGAATGTGCACATTGCAATTAGATTAGCACAACAAGCACATTTCCAAAACATCCATAGTAGGTAGATACAGAAATGAGTGTGAAGATTACTGGTGTAGGGTAAGAACGTACCAAAACCCCCACACTCGAACTGTAAAACAAAAGAAACCAATAAAATAATAAGAGTACAAAAACAAACAAACATGAGGACAACAAGCATACAGACAATAGACAGGACAAGAGATAAAGAGACACACAGACTTAACAGACCATCTGACAGAATATCTGATCTGGCACATCTTGCCGTGTTTTACTTCAAACCCTGATGCTATATTCATGGTAACTAGTTTACCTTTTTCTATAGGCATCGTATAAGTCTATTTCAGTTCTTATTAATGCCTACTACTGCTGTAACTGATTCTTTATTATGTTATGAGCAAACTGTCTGACTGTGATTTTATTTCTTTGCAGAACTAACCATCATTGTCTTAAAGCTTGTGGGTGCAAGAAGTTGAGCGTTGCATTAAGAGTGGTGTGTTTGCTGATTCACTGGGTGTAGACACAGACGAGGCATTCACCCGCAGCCTGCAGGGCGCTGCTCAGGAATAACCTGCAGCTATTTCTGCAAGCAGGATACATCACCACTCATTTTACACCGCCAAACAACAAGCCGTATGAAGATGAAATGTGTGTGAGCCTTTTTCTTTATCTTTGACTAAACCCACAAGACATCAGCGGGTGATGTAGTAAATCAACCACAGACTGTAAATATTAAAGGTATCAAGTATCAACGTACTAAACAAAAGACGGAAACTGGATTTGGAATTTAAGATCTTCCATTTGATACCTGATAGCTCTGAGATGTTTTCAGGTAAAGATCATGGCAGCATTTGTATTTATGTTGGACGGCTGCACACATTCTTTTTATATTACTCACAGCTGCTCGTACCTCAACTTCACCTCTATAGGAGTTTACTTGTTCCACATTTTGCAAAACACACACGTGGTACTGAGGGATAGGTCATGTAAATCAAAACAGCTGAAGGTTTACACACAATTGCCTTTTCAGGAAAGCTCCATATAAGCACAACAAAGAAGTCGATTGGCTGCAGTTTCTCCAGCCAACTTCAACATTTTTTCCAGGACTCCTGAGTAGTTTCTTTTTGTCTGCAGTTCAGAGCAGACAAAAAGGGAAACGAAGGACTTCTGACCAATTTCCCTTTGAAGGAGCTTTATCCCAGACATGTCATTTATTATTACTCTTTAATTTATCACAACTAAAGTGCCTCATGAAGTCTGGCAAAGCAGAGGTAGGAGTAACACAACTTCCTAAACTGTGGTGTGATGTGGCTGAATTACAGCCATTATTACCTTGAGAGCATCTGGTCTCTGTTTTTAAAGACACTTCTATTGTTTTGCATCTGAGAAGGAAGAGCAAACAGTTTAAAGAGGTCGGCTGAGGGCCAATACACCATCTGATCAAATGTCAAAAAATTCCCAGACTAAAAAACTCTGGACAATCTCGTTAAAGTTCACCTAGGATAACATATACTGTCATTTACAACTCTGTTTCTGCACATTTACATTTAATCTTTCATATTCAAGACGAGTAATGTTTAGTTAAATCCTGGTTGTATAGATTTAGATTTACTAACATTGTGTTTTTTGCTCATATTGTGTGTTTGGACAACCTGCTGCTGTAAGGACACAATTTCCCAGTTTGGGATCAATAAAGTTATTCTATTCTATTCTATTCTATTCTATTCTATTCTATTCTATTCTATTCTATTCTGTTCTATTCTATTCTATTCTATTCTATTCTATTCTGTTCTGTTTTCTTTAAATCACAGTAAATCTCAACTTTATCACCATTAATATAGAACAACTATAGTCTCACTTCCAGACAAACTCAAAGGGGAACGACCGAAGACAAAAAAAAGGTGGCCTCAGGCACGGTGTGTTTCTTGCCGTAAAGTGTTACCGTGGTTACCACAGAGTCTGGAGATGTGGCAAAGTCATAAACTAAAGTTAGACCGACTTTCTCACGTCTTCCCCCCCACACTACTGTGAACATAGGCTAATGTTGTCGCTTTAGCTTTAAAGACTGATGGTACACGAAACGGTACCCAAACCGTTAATACAAATTCACTAAGAAGGGAATATAAAAAAATAATGTGAGGACTTTAACAGACCGTGAACATTCATCAGACACAGTGGAAACTTGTTTCGACTACAATTTGTTAACCCCTGAACACAACCAAGCCAACGGAGAAAATAAATCACGGGCCAAAAACAACCGACTTCCTTACCGTTACCGAATCTCCTCTCGACGAGAGTTGGTAAGTTTCCTGTATTTATAATAAAAAATTCCAACGGTTATGTTCCTAAACGTCTCCGTGCCCACCAGTGCTACCCCCGGCTGTCCGTCCACATCGCTACGCCATGATGTTAAAGTGACGAGATTGTTGGAAAAGTTAGGACGTCACGGCTGGAAAATCCCGCCCTGCTCCTCCTGGGAAGCAGGAGTCCTGATGTGTTCAGGTAACGTGTGGACGGTAGGAATTCAGAGACACATTCGGGGTTAACACTAATGAACACGTTTTCAATTGAACAGATTATTTGATAACGATTAACTTTAATGCGTTAAGTTTACATGTAAAAGCTAAAGCAAATCAGCCGTTGTTTCTGGGGCAACAGTTGAAGACTGTATAAGTATTTGGGGTCAAGATGTTGCATATCTTTAATGATGATTGAACGCAGCATTCCGTGATTCACATTTACAGACGTACAGGTGACATCAGGTGGTCAGTGTGTGTCATTAGTGAAAGAAGGATCATTTATTCTTAGAAAGCGGCTAAAACAAAATGATTTAGTTATCATCTGAAACTATCTATATATCTGTAGCCAATCTTACCTGACACTACCGATACATCAGCCCACTATAATTCTCACCATCACCATGTCCTGTGATAACTTTGTTTATGCTTGGTTCAATGTGAATTTTTATTTTATTTTATGGTATGTAATGAAGTAAATTGGCTACCCCTTGCAGAGATAGATAGATAGATAGATAGGTAGGCAGGTAGGTAGCTTTTGGTTAGATGTTTCCATATGTTGTGTCTGTGGCCCGGTGAGAGTTAAATATGACTACATGTTCAGCATGTATAGATAATAATTTGACACAAGTAGAACACAACTGTTTCATGATTTATTACTCAAAGATATGCAGATAGACAAAAATATAAACTACTTCAACCAATGCAGCGACACCAACAAAATAACAAAACAGGGTAAAACACATAAATGAGTTCCTTATTATAGAAGTGCAAATTCAATTTAAAAAGTGCCTTAAATAAGAAGTGCTCTCCAGTGAATAGCCTGTACTTTGGGGTAACCCATTAGGCCGTACACTTATTTGGAAGATCTGTTGCTGCAGCAATTCCTGAAAATATCAGTCCAAACTTCGACCGGTTCCTTCCTTGCAGCTCCCATTTGAACACAAAACTTTCGGGTCAACCATGGGTCCCCAAAGCTGTGTCCATCCTCAGAGGCCTCTCAACCTTCACGGTGCTGGGGTCACATTCCAGCATCTCCCTGATCCAATCGTCATCCAGCGCTCCCTCTATGAACTCGTCCAGACTGATAATGGCTGCAGACATAACAAGGACGGACGGTCATCAGAGACAAAGGGCAGAGGACAGACTCAATCAGGATCAGTTCTGTTCCATCTTTAATCAATGCCGATCTGTAGCCAGGATACTGCTACCGAATGCTTTGAGCAGAATATCTTTTCTCATTAAGGTGTGGAAACTCTTTCTGATGTTGTTGGATAGAACCTAACTGTATTCATTATGGTCTGTGCTGCTATGTTAAGTCTATGTGAGGTGCAAACTCTGCCTTACTGATGATTCTGACTGACTCCCACCCATATGTGTGTGTTTTTTAGTTTTTGTTTTGTGTTTTGTTTGTTTTCTACCCAGGACCGTTTTTAAAAGAGGGGCAGTCTCTTTTTAAATGAGTTTTTGCTGTCAACTTTGGACATCTAGATGTGTGCCCCTTGCCTCTCTTTTTGCTTTTTGTGATACTGCTGGGTGTTCTTGTCTATCTTGTATGTCTGTATTGTAAAAAAACAAAAGAAGCTATAAATAAAGTATTAAAAAAAGAAGAGATATTTTTCTGCCTGGTTCACTTCTGTGTTTTTTTTTCTTCTATGCATTCCTCAGGTCATGTATGTAATAAAAAATGTTGGTTTATACAAACAGCGCTTATTGTGAGTGTGATGTTGCCATCTGAAATAACAGTACACCTTTATTTTTTCTCTCTTACCATTATTGTCTTTATCTAGTCGCATAAATATCCTGTTGGTACATTCTTCAGCGGTCAGCGGGTTGGGTTCAGTTAATGCTGCTGCAACACTCATCTTATAAACAGCCTGTAAAGAAAGGGTAGTTACACACACTAAGATTTATCCTCATAGTCCACTGCACAGCTCCTACATTACACCTTTCGTACATTTTGTGTTTTTTTATATATTTCATATTTTACATTTTTAAATTGTATTTTATATTTTGTAATATCTTCTTATTCTGTATTATTTAAGTTGTTGCTAGTTCTGCTTTATTTCCTTGTTAACTGTTTAGCACCAGAACACCAAGTCAAATTCCTTTATGTGTAAATGTACTTGGTAATAAACCCAGATTCTGATTCTGATTCTGATTCTGATTCTGAAACAAACCATTGGGAGTGAATAGTTGGGTTCTGTGGGAGCATCTCAGAAGTGAGCTAGGTCTTTACTTTTATTTTATGCACACGCACCTGCATGATGTCCAGCATTTCCTCTCTTGTAATGGCGCCGTCCCCGTCTTTGTCATAGAGCTTAAACGACCATTGAAGCTTTTCCACAGCTGAACCTTCGATAAGCATGCTGATGGCCATGACATACTCTCTGAAATCAACCATCCCGTCCTGAAGAAAAAGAATCCTCATTAACGATGTGGTTTATTATTCACTGTGTATGGACAAATATAGAACAGCATTACCAAGTGACATGATGTTACTGTAGACTCCAGACTCATCAACTACGCAGCCTTAAATCCTTCACAGAACTTTTCTTACCCCATTATTGTCCAGTGTGCGAAATAACTGCTCTGCATACTCAGCTGACTCACTGCCGACAGTGCCATTGCAGAAATGCCTTTGAAACTCATGAAGAGTGATCAGCCCACTTGGACATTCAATAATAAACTTTCTATGGCAAAAAAAACAAAGACGAGGGTTAGATTATTTTTTGTTTCAGTTGTTTTAACAGACAAGAAGGTCCAGATCAGAAGTTTGAATGAAGTGAGTATAATTTGCAGCAGGAGACACTTGTCCTTAGAATAAGAAGACTTAAGGTCAACCCCATCTGCAGCCTGTGGAGATTACAAGCGTTTGAAAAGCTTGTTTACACCCTGGGGATGTGGGCACTTAGATTATTAGGCCAAATGATTCTAACATGTTACTAAAACATGGCTTAATGAAGGGTACCAAAAGTGTCACATGGATATTCAGTGGGACACTAATGAAGTTTGTACCACAGCAAAATAAATTAAATATAGAGATAAAATGAGGTAAAAAAAAAACAAAAGGCCAATGATATCCTGTTATATGACATGCTCAATACAACAGAATGAAACCTAGTGGTAAACTTGAGAGCTGCAGATCAAGCTGCATAAACACAGTATTAGCTCAAATTAAATGTTTTCACTTACATTGCTGATTTAAATTAATCTCTTAGACCTGAATACACAGTCAAAAATGAAGTACATTTTCAGAATGAAAAAACAATAATTTAAAGAAGCCTACCTGAACCATTCGTACAGCTCTGTAACGTAAGACTCCCCTTTCCTACAAGGTAATGTAGCAGCTTGACCCATTGTGTGACGGAGCAGCAGCAGCTCTGCATTCGCTGTTGACCTTTTATACCCACCAAATCCCAGCTTATGTGATGCTTTCTTAATTGAACCAACCACTACCTTACCACTTTTGACAAATTACTTGTGGCTAATCTGCTTAGAGAGAGGGGTGACAAAAAGGAAGGTTGTCAGAGACAAATTTAAGTACACAAAAAGCAGACGGCTGCATCTCAATCGGCCTCATCAAAGACAGAAAACAGAATTCCCTAATGTTAATAATGCCTGCTTCTCTGTCTGATGTAAATTCAGATATAGATAATCCAATTCTACAATTCACTGAGCAGACTCTTTTCTCCAAAGCGACGTACATCAGAGAGTAAGAACAACACAAGCAAGGATCTAGAAAAAAGGGAACAATGTGAGTAAGAGCAAACGATCAGCTTTGAGTCTGATTGGACACACAGGTGCTGACAGGAAGTGACCAGAGGCAAAGCACAACATTGAGGGCAGTTCTTGAGAGCTCTAATCAGTATAGAAACCATCTTATAAGTCGTCGTTATCAAACAAAAACCATCATCATTACCATCATCATCATCAATAATATGGAGACCATCATCATTAAGTTAGTAGGTATTCATGAAAGAGCTGGCTCTTTAGCTTTTTCTTAAAGGTGCAGAGGGACTCTGCAGATCACATGGAGTTTGGAAGTTCATTCCACCACCGGGGGGCGACAGAGAAGAAGAGTCTAGTCAGAGACTTAGGACCCTGTTGTGAAGGTTGGATCAGACGCCTTTCATTGGCAGAGCTTAGTGGGGGGAGGGAGTGTAGACCTGGATGAGTTAAAGTAAGAAGGAGACGTTTTTGTCGTTGTTTTGTAAGCGAGAAATCCAAAGTTCTTGTTTCATTTAGTAAACGTATATTTATTATCTTGACACCCTGGGAAGACGGTCCAGACATGCTGATAGTAGCAGCAATAATGCAATAGACAAATACAGTAAGTGCTTCGTCATAAACCCCAAAAACCAATCAGAGAATGAACCTCCTCGATGGCAGGAAGTGGTACCATGGAGGCAGTAACGAGCTCCTGACAGTCCAATATGACCACAAAGGGTAAAGTCCTTCCACCTGTGTCGGTGCACAAACACACAAATACTCACTCACAGTTCTGTACTCACTCCCAAAGCCCAAAGATGCAAAACATTTTAAACATGAAAATGACCTAAAAGAAGCTGACACTAAGCACGACACGTATTAAACACAAAGTTCCCCTGCTTCCTGCTGTTGTCTTTCAAACAGAGGCGGAGCAAAAAAAAGAATTCTCAGGAAAATAAGCATCTCTTAATTTAATTAAAAGCTCGACTGAGCACAGTTGAGCTTTCTGAAGAGAATGCAGCTAGAACAGTGCAATGACTGAACATGAAGAATGGGAACAAATAATTCTTAAAAAAAGACATGACTCCATGACTCCAAGTGTTTGGTTCTGTTGAGTGCTCCAACATGCAGAGATCTCAGTTCATCTTTAAAACAGCCTCCACTTCAGTCATGATATGCACGGTAAGCCATGTGTGCGTCAAGTTAATCCATTGATACATTTTAGCCCTCCTTTCAGTCTGTCGAGTCACCGGGGGGGGGGGGGGGGGGGGGTCTCAGAGCAGATATGTCCAAAGGCACTTCGGACTTGTGAGTTTGCTGCATTTTTATATTTAAAAAAATGTCTTATTGGGGAAATCCTCTTAATATAACTCTAAATCCTTCCCCAAAACATTTAAACCAACAGTGGGCTGGCAGAGGGGCTTCACAGGTCCACATAATCCACATCTGTGCAACAATACAAACATGAATATTTTCACAGATTTGGTGAACTGGGGGAAACAAGACGCTCCGTCTCACTAAAACCCTTCAGGTAAAAGAAATGCAACGTAAAACTGTCAAGTGAGAAATGAAAGTCTTTATATGTGATTTTTGATCCAGCAGATGTCGCCCTTGAGCACCAGCATGAAACCAAAACAACTCGTGCTGCATTGTTGTGTTAGCATGCTAATGCTAGTGATCTTTATTCTGCTGGTATCTTCACACTGCATGTAAATTTACCTGAAATGAGCGTGATCTAGAAACACAGTTAAGCAGTGAGTACAGTATGTTATTCTTCTTTTCTCTAGTCCCTCAATTAAACAACTTTTATACACGAGGGGAGGAGTCAGCCGGCCGTCCCGGCGATGTAAACAAAGTGAAGATAGGACTCTGAAAACTCTGAAAACATCACAGACAGTGGGACTCGGGTGTTACACCCATTGTAGACAGTCATGACTCACAGAGTTATTTTCAGAGGAGATACTTGATTTATATTTAAGTGTGAAAAATCACATAGAAAGCCTTTAAGTCAATAAACTGGTATCCCAAAAATAGATGTGTCATGTGGCATCAAGAGTTGTTCAGAATATGGATCGGGGAAATTCACAACAAACTTCATACTTTTTTTTTTTTTTCAAACAAGCTAATAAAATGAAATTCAAAGGGTAATCACATAATTATTATAATTACATCATTATTATTATTATTTGGCATGAACAAGGCTTACAATGCCAATCTTTTTTTAAAACACAGTGACAATAATTTGACATGCTTTGGTTATTCTAAACTTGACCTTACACTGATCCCATTAGGCCATGTGACTGTCACATGACTAACATATTCCAGCCAATCACCTTAAAGGGGATCAAAATTTTTGTCTGTAAAATCCAAGCTGTGTAAAAAATTAAAAAAATTAAACTACATTTTGCAGTCATCCATACAGTTCAGTCACTTATTCAAGTTCTCAACAGAATAGCAATTTGTCTTCTACCTTCTTTATACACGATGTGAGAGGAGCTAAAACATACCACTAAAATAAAGAATGAATGGAATGATAGCTCTGCATAGCACACGCCCTGAATGTTCATGAATGTTTGCATGATAATGTTCGATTGCTTTGACCACTGCTGCACATCAACCATGCACATTGCATTACAGTACATTGAAAAATAAAACATATAAGCTTAAGATAGAGATTGAATAGCTGAATGTGAGTGTAAGAGCACAGACTCTTCACAAGATGATTCCAAACAATATAGAATATATAGAATATAGGGATGTCTTTTATACTCTAAAACTCTGGGACAAAATACTGCTTCAGTTACAACAAACCGTGTTACTGTATGTTAAAAGACTTGTTTCCATCACTTCCTGAGTTATCACTACCACTAGACTTAAGACATTTACCTCAAACATGTATTCAAATGTCAGATGTGAAATGGGGCTTTCCTGCCACCTGACTATCACCTTTACTGCACCTTTAAAGCACTGAGTCACAATGCATTTAGTATAACCTCTGAGCTTCTACATAGACAGAAGTTTAATTACAAAACAGCTGCTCTCCAGTTAATTTAGTCTCGATATGACAAGATCAGAGCTATGAGAAATGAAACACCGGAGAGAAAGGTCTAACAGAACAGATTCTTTCTCTGCAAACTCTCCCTTTAAGAAAGACTCGGCCTGAGGACATGGTGTTGCAGCGTACAAAATCCACACATATACAGTATTGTTAAGTCAGTGTTCAAGTCTTCAAGAGAAGAGGTTACTGGACTGTTTTCATGGAAAATGTTCAGATACTGACAAGTTGAGAGAAATCTTTGAGCAGCACAAAACAGAGGTGGCTTTCAAAGTTAAGAGGTTATGGAAGTGTGGTCTGCCGCGGTAGACTGGCTACAAACGGCTTGGATCCTGAGGGGGTCACAGAGATGGGCCAGGATATGCATTTTAATTAGAAGTACAGTACCTAATCAAAGTACGGCAGTTTAAAAACAAACATTAAATCAATTCAGTGCATTTCCTTTTTTTTTTTTATCCCCAAACAGACAAGAGGAGCAAAAATGTCACATCATGTCACTGTCTCTTGTTTGTTCATTCGTTTTTGGATCAAGTGAGAATTCTTCAGATGAACGGAGGATGACAGATGACACGAGGAAACAACAGTGATGATCAGTGTTTTGGCAGGCAGACCGCTGCAAGGCTTTTCGAGGCACATCCTCCTTCTGAAGAGGGAAAGCGGGTGTGTTCCTCATTGTCGTCCAATCCCACTACAGTTCGAGCAGCCACATGAAGAATACACAGCTTAAGAGGACAAAGTCACAAATAAATAAACAAGTCCTTGAAAAAAGGAATGCTGCATCTCAAGAGTTAGCATTCAAGGAGATCCCGTTATAAAAAAAAAAAAAAATGGTCCAAGATTCTTTAAAATATTTTTATATTTTCTATAGAGACCAGTGCATCTCTTCAAAATCCACAGCCTCGTCCAAGTTTGTGTCCGTCTCCAAGAGGCGCATGATAACTGCCATGGCTGCTTCATCATTGCTGAGACTGCTCAGGCCTGGTCCAACCATGCTGTCCAAGTCCATCTGGGAATTCTCCCCTGAGGTAAGAAACATTGACATAAGAAAAATATGAGACAATGGAGTTAACAGCAGAGCAATGAAAATATGGTCCTTTATACCAGTGATTCTCAAAGTGGGGTCCCTGGACCCCCAGGGGTCCGCGAACCATAGCTTGGGGGTCCGTGGAATATTTGTGAATTGTTTGACACAAGAATGTGAGTAATGTAAATATTTAAGTCGAAATCTTCTTCGAGAAGGCTCAATGTGTGTTTTGAAACTCTGTTCAATACATTCTGTGGTTTGCTCAGAGCTTCCAGCCACTGATTTGAATAAGGAGAAAATAATTCATCTTTAAAGTTAAATCACTAACTGAAAGTCAGTTTTAGAATACATGACAACATTTCTAATTTCATCACAAGACAATCTTGCGATGTTCATTTTCTCAAAGTTTTTAAAATGAATTACTTGGAAAGTATAAATGTAGCCTAATTCTTTTGTTGCAGAGTACATAGTACATTATTACATAGTATTAATATGTGCTTATCAACGGAACGATAATGAGGAGGGTCCTTGGAAAAAATTCTCACCTGAAAGGGGTCCATGGTCTAAAAAAGTTTGAGAACCCCTGTTTTATACCATATATGTTTATTCTGAGTGTCAGTACCCATGAGTGTGTCTCCTCCTGAGAACGCCGCTCCCTGTTGCTCTTCTTCTGAGCTGGACTTTCCTGGCACCTCCATGTCTGTCACCTCTCCATTTGGCACCTGAAGACCAGAAGATGAGTAAAGTTAGTCCTGCTGAGCGGCAACACAGCTCGAGTTTAGACATAACAACAGGGAGCAGAGAAACAAATCTGTGGAGGTAAAATCATGCTTTCAAACTGTTTTAAACAAATTCACCATCTTTTCTTACAAATACGGCTTTAATAAAGTTCATTTTATAGTTGTTCTACCTCATTGCAAAATGGTAGACCAGCTGGGAGATGT